AAATCGCGAGGATCACATTGCAATTAATCTTCGTCGCCTTTATGTGTTCAAATTAATACCAATGCTCAATCCTGATGGTGTAGCAAGAGGTCATTATCGAATGGATACTAGAGGAATAAATCTTAATAGAGTTTATCTCAATCCTTCTTTAAAGGATCATCCAACAATATATGCTGCAAGAAATTTGATAAAGTAAATAAGTAAAATGATTTTAATGTTCCAATATTATAATCAAGATAAGATTGATAAGAATAATTTTTATTAAGGTATTATCATCATACATATCAACTGCCAAAAGAAGATGAAATGTCAAGTATATATTTAGGAAATGGTGAAAATACTTTAACCATCATTGATTCTTCTTCCACAATTGCAAATATAGTACGTGATACAACAACAAGATTACTTCAGCAGGTAATAAAAAAATATTATTTTTTAATAATTTATTTGAAATATTAATATTTTTTTAAATATAAATATATCCAATACATAAATATATATAAAATATTGAGATGTATTGATTTATAACATATAAATGAAATAAATATTAATTTACTATTTAATAGGTAACACTTATGACTTTAGATGAAAAACGTAAAGATGAACCGAAAATTTTTCAGGAATGTACATTACCAAAAAATTTGAATAACATATCTCAAGGTACGATATTTAAATTGAATTATTAAATAAGCAATTAATAAAATTCTTTTATTTATTTATACACATTATGTAAAGGTGGTGGAGAAGGTCTATGTAATAAAACAGAAGAAAGTAATAGTTCTGTAGAATTTAAATCTGATAAAAAAACATATACAGCTGTTGGCATAGGACAGTTACCTAAAGAAGATTCTGGATTATATCTATACATTGATCTTCATGGTCATGCTTCAAAAAAAGGTGTTTTTATGTATGGCAATTACTTTGATAATGCAGAAGATACAATAACATGTATGCTTTTGCCAAAATTAATGTCCATTAACAATCCAAATTTCCATTTTACTTCATGCAATTTTACAGAAAAAAATATGTATATTATGTACGTTTTTTTTATTATCATTATTATTATCATTATTATTGTTGTTATTATTATTATTATTATTATTATTATTATTATTATTATTATTATTATTATTATTAAAATCAAAATAAAACGAACAATACATTAAAAGTTCTTATATTTCGTATAAAATTTTTATTTTTGTAGAGATAAAAGAGATGGTATGTCAAGGGAAGGATCAGGTCGAGTAGCTGTATATAAACTTACTGGACTTATACGTAGTTATACGCTTGAATGTAACTACAATTCTGGACGTCTAGTAAATACAATACCTGCAAGAGTTCGTGATGGTGTGAATAGAGCTATGACTCATATATTTGTTCCACCAAAGTATACACCAACAGTTTTCGAAGCGGTAAAATATTTTTTTTATTTTTTATTTAAAAATTTTTCTTAAATATATAGATATCATATAATTATTAGTATTTTGATTAGGTTGGAGCAGCATTAGGTCCTTCGATTCTTGACCTAACAAATAGTAATCCTAATAGTCGACTGCCAAATAGCCAATATCGCTCTTTAAGAGGTGTAAAATCTTATTTAAAATTAGCATATGTGAACAATCTTTCATCACCAAATAGCAAATCTCTACAGAAGGTAAATTTTGATGTAAATAACGAGAATGAATTTTCAGCTGTTAACATAAGACAGTGTGTACTCTCTTAATTGATAATAATTATTTATTTGATGTTTTCATATTAATATCAAGACACATTAGTGCCTAAATAAACTGCATTTTGTTACTGGTTAAAGATGTGGGAGAGAGATTTTGTATACATATAAATTGTATATTTTAATTTAATAGTATAACATTACAGATTTTTTATTCTAGAAGAAAAATCTATTCTTATTTTATAATATTATGATAATATAATATTATGATATATATAATAAATTGTTATAATAACATATTAGGTACTTAATACATTTTAAATATGCGACTAATACAAATCTTGTAAAATTTTTATTATATTAAACTAATGGGTCTTCCAATCTAATACATATGTATGCATGACAATAATATTTGCTATATTTTTATATAAAAGTTCATGAAAAAATGTTTGTCTACTCGTTTTTATAGATTTATTACATATTTTAATCATAATTACTAATGTGTGTACAAAGTGCAATTTTTTGCAATTTAATTATTGCGTTTAATATATTAACAAATATGTTATATTTTGTATATACATCGTTTTTTACTGCTTAATAATATGTTTTTATAATACAATATTTAGTGTATATATACAATATATATATATATATATATATATATATATATATATAAATTTTATAAGATTGTATAATTGTTTATTGTTTTATATTACAACCAATTAATATAGAATAAAATCGATGTTGATTGACTTATATTTTGACAAAAAAATACATTCTTTTTTTATTTTCTTTAGACTATTTTTGATGCACTATGTTTCTGGTGACAATAGATAAGTGCATTTACAATGATATTATATGCACTTAAGAATTTTATCATGGATGCAAGTAGTAATAAAAAATACACACAGTAATTAATGATATCTATTTCTTTAGTAAAAAAAAAGCAATTAAAGCATTAATGATATCTATTTCTTTAATAAAAAAAAGCAAAACATAGCTGTTTTAGATAATTCAAACATAAATTTCTGACTGATAAAATCTTTTAACAAAATGCAAAATTTTAATATATAATATAAATTTTAATAAATCAGAATTTAGTATTGAAATGTTTGTTTATTTTAAAATTGATCAAATGAATAATATTTTATATGTTTCTAAAATTTTTCATTTGTAGTTCATATGATTTAAAATGATAAAATTTGGCTGTTTTATATATTATGTACTTCTTTACTATTTAAAGAAAAAAATATGAAGTACATGTATTTATTAAAAAAAAAGAGTATACGTTTATTATCATATAAAATTAATATTAATATATGTCATAAATATTATATAATTATTTTATTTAAGAATCATGAAATAACTTTTATAATATTTATTGTCATGCTTTCTATTATTTGAATGTAAATGCTATTACTGATCAAAGAGAGTATGTATAAATTTATGTATGTATACAAGTTCTATAATGTATCCTATTTTACATCCTATTATACTTTTATATACACATATATGAATACATACATGTCCTATTGTTTTAATAAATTTACAATATTTTTAGTGATAATTTATTTACTTTATTTTTATTTTTCTCCTGATAATCCTTAGTCCTATTATTATATTAATTGTTATATAATTTATATGTTTTTAATATATTAAATATTTCATTCAAAAACTGCTATATAAATTAGGTTTGCAACTATAAATTAAATGAAACTATTGAATGAATAAATTAAATATCATTGAATTCATTATTGAACAAGAAATATTGTTTATCTACCTTTTCTTCTTTAATTTAATCACAAATACAAGGACGAAAAATTGTAAGAAAAGTAAGAAAAAGTCAATCTCTCTCTCTCACAAATTATGTGTTATATAATATTCATTGTATTACATTTATTTTTTTATTTATACTTTTATTCACAGGATGATAATAATGTTATGCCTTCAGATTCTTATAATTTGAAAGAAATTGAATCTCAAATAATTAATTCTTCTGTTGGGTTAAAGAACTCAATGAAAAGTGAAACTAATTTCATAAAAAAATCATGTATTATTCGTCGCACCACATCTCTTTATACTGCAGTAAAAAAAATAAAAAATAATAGAAAGACTAGACAAACTGTAACTCGTACACCGCTAAAAAATCAATGCGTCAATAATATCGAAAGCACTTCGAAAATCTCTGTAATTGGACCAAAAAATGTTATGAAATCATTTTTAAAAAATTCAGAAAATCGTTTGAAAACTTCTTGTTTTGGATGTATCAACGATTCCTCGGAAATAAGAGATATTCAACATGAGAATAAAAAATTAACAACAATAAATAAATATTCAAAAATGGCTTTATCTTCTGAAGAAACAACTATTGTTAAGCACGGAGCAAAAAGATTAAAAATTGTTTCTATAAAAATAAATAAAGGAAAACCGGAAATTGGAGAACCGTCTAATATTATCTCAGAAACTACGAAATCATCCTCATTACTTTTGTCTAACAAACAAAATATAAGAAAAACTTCAAAAACAACAAAAAAGTATTGTTCTAAAATGGAACAAAATAAATCGAAGTCTTCCAAAGCGAAAAAATCAATAGAAATATTATAGTGATTGAAAAATTAAATAACGAAAGTGCAAATAAAATTCTAAATTAGACTATAAAACAAATCATTATATAGAAAAATAATCGTTTAATAATCAATTGTGGCTTTATAATTCTTTTAGATGAATACTTTAAATATAAGAAAATTATGTATATTAAGTATAAACTATTTAATTAATATATACATGTAAACATTTATCGTATTGTTAAAAAAAAATAGGAATTTTTTGTTTTTTTTTTTATTTCTTTCTTAAAATAGAAAATTCAAAATTACATAAATCGATATAAAATGATTTAAGTAAAACTTAATATTTATACATTTAAATTAGATTATATTAAAATTCATTTCAAATTGCAATATTGTGTAGTATTCTTATTGTGAATACATATATTATGTATCATATATATGTATATAAATTTCAAAATATATAAAGTTATATTATTTATTGTAAAAAAAATAAGAATAAAGAAGCATACAACATTAAATTATCTCCAATAATATTTTTAATATTTTCTAAATCATATATTTAAAAAAGTAAAAAAAAACAAATTATAAGTAAACAAATTATAAAAATTACTATTAATTATTAAATTAATTATTAAATTATGTTAAGTTACTTCGATTATTTTCGATTCGAATCGGAACAACTCGGCTACGTCACATGATATATGTGCGGTCCCCTTCTCTCTGTCTAGTCAGTCGCTTTCGCGTCGTCGTTATATTCGTTTGGATGGATATAAATTCGAACGGAAGTTATATCGTGCATAGTTGTGATTGTTTTCGCAAGAAGTGCTAGAAAGAAATATAAAACCATCGATTAATTTTTTATAAAAGTGTTTCGTGTATAATCCGTAATAAAAATATTTTACGACATGAACGCTATTAGCAAGATTAGAAGCTACGCAATTTTCGCGGCATTTCTATTTTTCATCGAAAGTGGTAAGGTTAATGCATGTAACTATAGATGTGAATATCGTGGCGTCCTTTGGGTGGGGCATTTATAAATTTTTACATTGTTCTCTTTATTAAGAACTGTGATAAAATTTGTACATTGAATTATATCTTTAATTAATTTATATAGGATCTTTAATTAATTTATAAACATCGAGCGAAAGAATCGATTTGTTGAACACTTATATTTAAATAACAGCTTGAAGTTAGTAGATTATTTCGTTGTTAAAAATTTAATATTGCATGAAAAATTATTCCTATAATTAATCTTTAAAATGAAAACAAATTATCATTCATAGATTTATATATATATATATATATATATATATATATATAATGTACGTATAAAGAAACGACATAAAAAATTATTAGTTTAAAATTCCATACAGTACAATAAAAAATTATTTATATAGGTCAATTATTTTTTTATGGAAATTATATATTTTTTTTAATCATAAATAGTAAAATTTTTTAAATTTTTATATTTGTTTATATTTATTCATAAAAAAACCTTATATTTATTTTTTTTAATAAATAATCAATTAAGAATTAAATATTTAACTAATATTTAAAATATGTTTTTATTTTTTATTATAATTTATAATATTAACTACTATTTATAATATTATTTGAATCACATTGTTCGATTAGTTCGATTTAGTTTGATAAAACCATGAATTAAAAAATAAACAGAATTTTTTCTTTTTCTTTTCGTTCAGTCCACAGTTTACAATGCTATCAATGCATCAGCACAAACAACTCGCATCCCTTCCAATGCAACGAATTTCTTTCGAGCGACATCGATATCAAGCCAGAGCCTTGTGATGCTGTTTTCGAGGCACAATATTGTGTGAAGCATACAGGCCGATTCGAGGGTAAAACAATATCGGCTGATCAGATTACATATATTGGAAAAGGGAATCAATTGCGAAATTTAGCACTTTCAAATGAAAACTAACCTTTAATCATTAGTGACATTACCATATCGATTTATCGAAGCATGTGAAAACAGTCAGAGCACGATCGATAATCATTTCAATTCGAATTGGTTTTTAGGTGACTAACGTATTATAAATTACATCTGCATATAAAAAGGGATGACCTATTTTATATTTAATATTTAATGTATAATGACTATTAATTTTTGGTTATTATTAAAATTTATTTAAAATGTATGTATTATCACAAATCGTTAAGCATTGGAAAATGTGTTGGGTAAATTACAATGTATATTATAACAATTTTCATTAAACAAATCATTTAATTGATGCAGTATATATAACAATAACCGCTATATTCAGTACTTTTTCAATCGATTAAGCGACTACTCTGGATTGCTATCAGTGTACATCGGAAGAAGAACTGAGCTGCGGAGATAGTAAATTGGTATTAAGTACCTTACGACCAGCGAACTGCAATCATGTTTACGATGCACAATACTGCATCAAATCAATCGGACTATTCGGAGGTTCATATATTGTATTTTGAGTGTTCTCGATATCGAGTGTTCACTTGTAGACTTTCCTTATTTCTGATACACAGAGATTTTATTTCCTTTAAAACTTTGATCAAAGGAAAGTTTTAGATAAATAAATATTTTATATATAAATATAAATAATTTAATAATTTCATGAAAAATGAATAACCAAAATATATATTGCATGCTGCTTTTAGAAATACGTTATCCCTCTACATTTTTCATCTTATGTATATAAAAGCATGTTATTATTGTTTTTGTATAGATTAATAAACTTTTTATTTGCGTTAAATAAAATAAAATTATTTTTCCTATATATGTTTAAATAGGTGGAATAGGCACAAAAAGATTTTGTTCAGCACTGGATTTGGGGAATTATTGCGATTATGTGAATCAACAAGGTGACAAGTTAACTTATCGAACTTGTATTTATACTTGTGCCGGCGATGGATGCAATCCAGCGACAATGTTGAAACCAAGTATTTCGTGGATGGTATTAGTTGGATTATTAATAATTTATAAATTATTCCTTAAAAGATAAATATTTATATCATTAAAAATAATAATTTTTTGAGTGCATTTTATGATAAATTCATGATGAATATTATTCGTTCGTGTTAATATGAATAGAATAAATATTAATCTTTAAGGGAATAATTCATACTAGATTTATTTCATAAGATAATATTGACGTATCTTCTCTTTCTGATAGAATTTTAAATAAAGATATTATTTAGCTGTAATAATATATAATTATAATGTTAACACATTTTATAATATGAATTTTGTAACTTAATTGAAGAATATTTAGACTGTGTCATTATATTTTTCTCATATGATATGATTATAAATACGAATAAGAAATAGGTTAACTATTCTTAAAATCGAATTTTAATAGGATTAAATTTTTATTCGTACACATCTAACCTATTAAATTGTGTACTTATATGCATATAATTATTTTTTTACTTTATTTTGTTTATTTATTTAACAAAGATCTAGATTACTTATTTTTGTATATTTTTGTATAAAATATGGATCTTATAGTGTTTCAACGATGTAAATATAAAAATCTATTTTTATTTTTTCTTTTAAAAACACATATATGATTAAATATACCCATAATAATTAAACTTCACAATTAAAAAATGTTTGTATAGATTATAAGACAATATAAATACGATCGAATGCTTTGTTCTTTATTTTCATTGAACGAGATCCCTTATTCATCTTGCATACACATTCATTTATTTGCATATAAATATAATATAATACAGTCGATCAACTGCTTTTAACAAATTGTCACGACGATATTCATAATAAGGTACTTGCACGTTCTTTGGTATATCTATGTTTATATAATAAATGGTACATAAGATAGCACTCTTCGATACAACAATATGAGTTCATTAATATTTACTAAGTAAAAGATTTCAATCGAGTATATAAAGTTACAATATTGCAAAATTGATCGTTTACGAATCGCATTTCATGATAGAAATTTTTTTAAAGAATATACATTTTCATGCAAAAGCCTCATTCTATATGTTTTTCTTTTTATGATTATAAAACAAAATAAAATACACATACAAGCTAATATCGAGCCTAATATCGATAATATTATGATATCTGATATAATATATGTATTTATGTTTGATGACACAATGATTAATAATTTTCTATCTGTATAGTTATATTTTAAATATTAAAGAAAACACAGAATAATATTTTTTCATTATAATTTTTTCATCAAAAGCATTTAATAATCAATTCTTAGAAATAAAATTAAATATTTATCATTATATGATAAAAATCGTGCCAATTATTCTCTTTTTTTATGTTTATATTTTGTATTATTTTTTTTTCTATTTTCTTTTTGTTATAATAATTAATGTGCACCGATCACAAGCTTATTTTATCAGTCAAAATTCTTTTTTATATTTTTATCGCTTGACATTACAACTATATACCATATGAAAAATACATGTATATATATATGTGTGTGTATGTGTTAATATGTAATGTATATATGTGTATAAACAGGGTATATAAATTATTACTAAATTTTCGCTATTAAGCAATAATAGAATATTTTGTGACTAACAATTTCTTTCTCAGTTTGTTGGTCCTAGAAATGTATAATTTGACATACACGTATATTGATGTTATTATATATATATATATATATATATATATATATATATATATAATGTGAATATAAATGAATAAAACATTTCTATAATATTTTTTCTAAAAACAATCGATGTACGATGATATACTTCTTTTTTTTCCTTAATTAATGATCTTTGATCATTCAGCATTCATTTGTTTTTTCTTTTTTTTTCTGATTTCCATTATACACATACATTAAGTTCTATGTTCTTAACTGCATGAAAAAAATACCAGTTTAAAGTTCAAAACTAATTTATAATAGTATACAATAAATATTGTCACTGCCATGCGTTTTTAAAAAAAATTCTATTGCCACTATCATGGCAGTGAATGTGGCAGTGATCGATATATTTGATAATATAGAATAGCTTAAATATTAATAAATTAAATACATCATTTTTATATTATCTTATATACGAGATAAAAAAAATAAGACATAGGATTAGAGAGAAAGAGATTAATAACAATAATAATAGTAATTTTAAATTAATTGATCGATTAATTATAATGGAATTCATAAATATTACTGACTATCAATAATGAAAAATAAATGTTCACTAACTAAAGTTCACTAATTAAAGTATAAAAAATAAATCAAACAATAAATATGATCATAAATATCATTAAGATATTAACAAATTCATTTTAAAGAAATTAACAAAATAATATTACAGAAAATTTATTGAACTATTTTTTTTTTCCTTTCTTAGAATCTTAATTTTAATTATTAGTCATTACTAATTCTTGCATCTTGTGCTATTTTCGAATGATGTTCGTTTTATTGCATCCATAATATCCTCTTCACAATTCCTAAATATCTTTGCATTTATTTATCACTCTATGTATGACAATTCTATATATATATATATAAAACGAATCGCATACGATAAACGTGCATATGCACAAGACAGGTACAATTCTTTATGTACTGAACATTTAATACTTCGTTTAAGTTTTGCGTCTTTATATTAGGTTAATCTTTCTCCTTTTTTTTGATAATATAATTTTAAAAAATTATTTTCTAAAAAGATAAGACAATGTACAATCAATAATATGTATACATTTTTTATATGCAAATAAAAAAATATATATTAAACTTCATAGAATCAGAAGAGAACTTCATTTATGAAATATTTAATACTTAAAAGTCATTCGATAAAACATTGCAATTTGGAGAAATATTAAGATTTTATATAGACAAAAACTCGTTCGTATGTGAAGGCAATAGTGTAAATCACAATTATTTGTTCATTTTTTTGTTCAGTTTCTCTACAGCAGAAGAATTTATTGCATATTAAAAAAATTATTGCATATTGACTAAATTATTGTTGCTTCATTATTGCATTTTTTTCAATAATGGTACAAGATTACCAAGTAAAAAATTGCAAATTATATATAAAAAAGATATATTATAGAGAAATGCGAAATGCTATAAAATGCATCATATATCATTCATAAGATACATTAGAGAGAATTATATAACTCTCTATTAACATATTATTAGAATATACGTAACCAGCATTTCCAGTTCATAAAGTTTCTCGGATACTTTTAAATAATAAATTTTTTTATTTTCTTCTTTTTTTTGTACGTGTGTGTAAATTTTGTTAAAAGCGTAGGCATTTAATTGCCATGAACAATATACATATATATTATCACTTTGTTAAGTACCATGTTTGTTGTACAACTAGCAACAACGCTACAAAAAATTTTATTCGGCGCATACGTTGTATTATATTTCGAAATAATTGTATATTTACTGACGCTGAAGTTTGCGAATTTGCTCTTCCAACTCTTTAACGCGTAACTGACTGTTTGCAAGTTGTCTTCGTACCAATCTCAATTCATCAGTTTGACGAACAAATGCTAATCTCAGTTCCGCTTCATTATTAGGAATGTCTACATTCTCTAAAATCTTATTATCATTCAGTGGAGGAGAAATGATATTTTTCTGCAAAACACATTGATTAACATTAGATTCATGAAAATATTAATAAAAATATTATGGAAACATTTTTACCTGTAATACAACATTGCCGAATTTTTGTTGCAGTTGCTGAAATTTAGTACTTTGATTACTAGATGTCTTTTGACTTTTCTCCGACATGTCATGAAATTCGATGGGCCTGTAATCTGGTACAGTTTCGGTAGACAAGAAAGCAAATTTCTTTTTATTATTCAAGTCAGTTGTTGGTGGAAGTTGAGGTGGCTTATATACTCGTGGCTTGTGCGTGGTAATACTACCACCTGTTTATATTTAAATAATAAAATCAAGTAATACAATACGGAGAAAAAATACAAGATAAAATGAAATTCTACAATCTTATTTACCGGTTTTCAAAGAAATTAAAATTGGTGGGTTGTTCATTCCGCTTATCCAATCTCTAGCTGATAAAGCTGGACAAGTACCTACAGTATCGGGATACAAATCTTCTTGGAATTGATCACTCTATAAAGTAAAAATAATTGATAATTATATCGTATCGAATAAATACATTTATTTAATTTAATTTTTCACATTTCTACATACTTTTCGAGGAACTATCATGGATATCGGTTCGCACATTCCTCGAGTCGCATGTAATTTATAAAATCTGAATACTTCGCAAATAGCAGTATTAACGCCTCTTTTTGGCATTACACCTAATCCTCGTTGAGGATTTCCAGAGATGAATTGACTAAGATAATACATCCAAGGTGCTTCGTTTACTATTTCATAATATCGAATATTACCATCACCCTAAAATAAAAAAAAAATATAAAATATCTATTCTATATATACAATTTTGTGACATTATTCTTTTACCTTTCCTGCCAAATATACCATGTTCGTATCGTTATCATAATATGGAAAAACTACTCCACTGGAAGAATCAATTGTTTCGCATGTTAATGGTATATTCAAATCATGTTGACTCCAGATAGCATACTGTCTGTCAGAATGTCGACTGAAGCCTGTCGTAAGAAGACGACCAGAACTACCAAGGAAAACCACTTTACTAGCTTTTGTTCCAGCATGACAGACCCCTTCCTTTAACGAATGTTTTACAGAAATATTCATTCGAATAAATTTTAATTTTAAAATAAAAGTAATCAGTACAGAATAATACGTACAGAGACTACGATACCAGATCTTGGCTCAAAAACCCTTAATTTTTTATCCTTGCATGTTGTCGCCAATAAGCTACCATCACGATTTAATGATATACTATAGATTACGTCAGGATGCCTATCAATTATATTGATGGCCTCTCCTTTATTTATATCCCATACGATAACAAGATGATCAAAGCCAGCACTAAATAGCACATTTTCAGCAACAGGGTGCCATTCTATGTATGCAACACGACGTTTATGTCCTTGCAGCTCCACTAACCACTCAGTGAGATTTCGTGATAATCCACCATCAGGAATATGCCATAATTTTATCTGCATTTAAGATTAGGGGAAAAAAATACTATGAAATAAATGAAATAAACTAAATCATTAAAGCTTATAAAATACTTAAAATTATTGAAAAATAATTTTTTTAAGTAATAATAGAGATTCCTATATTCTATCTTTTGTGTCATTTTTGCTATACATATCGAAGATGATGAAAGTAAGTAGTAAAATATTGCATTCTAATTTTAACAAAACATTCTGTCTTTTAGATAGCAAATGATGGATGCCATATTCAGTCACTCAAAGTAGCAATTTGTCACAGATCATTTGACAAAACATTTTTCATTCGACTTACTTCATTGTAAGTTTAAATCCACGATGAAAATGTAACGAAAAACAATTTTC